AGCGGCCCACTGCACTCCCAGTCTGGGTGACAGAGTGAGACTCCAACTCAAAAAAAAAAAAAAAAGTCACAGATAAATTGTTATTAGCATGTAAGAACTCAGGAAACACTGTTTCCATAATTCTTTTCTGAAGAATCTGCGGGAAACCAAACTTTAATGACCAGAATGACTGAGGAATCATTAAAATAAGGATTGGTTGTAGGCATTAGTATCTTGCAACCTGTAAACTAAGACAAAAAAAGGGCAAAGAGGAGATGACATGAAGTTTGGTGACTGTAAAAACTCAAACTGAAGACATGGTACAATGGTGTAAAAAATAGGAAATGAGAATGGGGAGAGCACATGTAATTTTTTAATGTTTTGATCATCAGATTAGTGGTACTAGTAGTTCTGTTATTTAGTATTGTTGTACAAATACAACTGAATTATTCTGTTATGTCCTTTGTCTTAGAGAACCAGGACTGTTGAAATGGGAGAAAGGAGATACAGATGTAATAGAGAAGAGGCTACATAGAAGCAATGAAGCTCTGAACTTGACGTGGAAATATTACTATAAATTTATAGTATTTTTTCTTTATATGTAAAGATTTAGTAGCTTTTTCTACTAAAAAAAAAGCTTAGAAACTATTGCCAACTCAGAATGACCATCAAGATGTTGTCATGAAATGCCATTTCTCACTAAATGAAACCTGAGCTTAGAGAGATGAACAACTCCAGTTCTGGAGCAGAAAATGTAAAAGAGAGCCTGGAACATCTGGTCCTGTCAAATAATGAGGAGACTTTCAAAGACTACTGCTTTTATGTCCAAAGGACTCAAGAGACAATTTAAAGAGGTGCTCACTGACCAGGAGTAGGGATATCTAAGTTTCAGTAATAATAATAATTGCATTTGATTGAAACTAATCAAATACATATACATCCACAAGTTTATAAAGATATATATATAAATTGGTTACCTCTAGGGAATGATAAGGAACGATTCTATTATATTTTAAATAAATGATATATTGACAACACAGGTAAATAAAGAGAAAAATTATGAATTTATTCTGCTTTTCTTCCACCAACTAGACCACTGTGTAACAAATAGTAGATGAGAGAAAATGTCTCATTGTAAAAGTATTATAACTAATAAATGAAAAATAGCAGTATTAGAATATTTTGCAAACATCAGTGAATGCATATATATATTAAGCCTCAATATTTGCTATGGTCACAAAACGTGAGACAACCAGACATCACGTACTTATTTTACTCTTGTCAACACTATCTATAATCTTGTGAAAAGTATCCAACCTGAATCTAGGTTTGGCTGATAGTTTGCAGGAAATACACAGAACAACGGATCACACTGGATTGCACTATGAGTGTGCAATAAGCAGACCCAGGCTGTGGAAAACTCTGCAGATCCAATGTCCACAATTACTTGCAAATCGATTGAAAGGAATAAAAGAATAGAGGGGAAACCTACAGATTAAAGAAGACTTAAAGGACAAACCAGAGTTTTATGAAATGGACAAGACTGTAGTGTCAAGGAAAGCATGTGTGAATACAAAAATGCAAGAAAGCAATTGTTATAAAGAATACTATTCACTCATGGAGAGAATTAGTGGGTTATATCAGAAACAGATGGAAGGGGCTTCTGCAGTGGCTGGCAAATTTATATTTCTTGACCGTGATAGTGGTTAAAAAGTGTTGTTTACTTTGTAATAATTTATTGAGTCATACATTTGGTTTGTTTGATTTTCTGTCTGCGTTTTGGTACAATATATAATTTTAAAAATAGCAGTCATTGAATATTTATTTTTGAGTCCGTATTGTATGTCAGCTTGTACTAGGTATTGTCAAGGCAAACAGTAAGACAATTCTTACAGTTGGGGGCAATTACAATAGACTGTGTTAAAAATGGAGCAAGCGCAGGGGACGGTATGGGAACATATAGGTAGGACACCTAACCCCTACAGGGGGGTCAATGCCAGCATCTTGGCATTTAGAATTTCAGTTGACATCTGAAGAATGAGCAGATGCTAGCCTCGTAGAGAACTAGGGCAGGGGAATGAGAAACTTCTACAAGATTTGGGATCACCTAGAGGTGAGAGAGAAAAATAATGCTTTGAGGAACTGAAAGAAGTTCAGTTTGCATGAAAAATATATACATGAGAGGGAGAAGGGATGGCAGGAGTGTTGAGCGAGAAAGGGGCAAGGGCCAGATCCTGAATTGTCTTTTAATTCATGTGACCATATTTGACTTTTTTTTTTTTAATAGGGGAAGCCATTACATGTTTTAATCAGGGAAGTGATCTCACTTGCCCTTTAGAGAGAGCATTCTCACTACATTACAGAGCACAACATCAGGACAGGTTACTGTTGGTAGCCGTGGTAAGAAATACTAAAAGTAGGAAGTCCAACTAACAAGAAAATCTGTTGCATTACTCCAGGTGAGAGATAATCCTTTCTAGGGAATGAAGAAAGTTGTACAGCTCAAGAGGTATTTATGGTACAGAATTATAAGACATGGTGATGGTTTGGATGTAGGAAATGAAAGAGAGAAAGGAGACAGAGATGACTTCATGTTTTGGCCATTGAGTTCTCGTTGATGGCGTTTACTGAAAGTGGCATACAGACTAGTCAGAGAAGGAATTTTGGTAGAGAGAAAAAACTGGACATATTAAGTTTGTTGCACTCATGGAGAAATATAACTGGACAAATATACTAGTTATTGATCATAAGCAAATGATGCACAGAGGAGAGAGCTTAGTGTTATATATTTTAGAGTCATTATCACATAGACGATGAGATTCACCAGAAAGAACAGAAACAGTGAGAAGAGTGAATTCCTGTAACAGAATTCTGAGGAACTATACGTCTTGATAACGGACAACGACTCACCCACATAGGTACTTAAGAAAGAGCACCCAGAAGTTAGGGGCGGGGGACCATTACATTCTCTTGTCATGAAAACCAAAGGAAAAGAATGTTTCAGTAAGAGGTGTCTGACATTCTCAATTAAAGTCAGAAAGATAAAGTCAGAGATACACATTAGATTTAGAAACAACAGAAAAAGTCAATCATTTTAGCTCTCAGACTACAGTCACCCCAAATGTCACATTCACTTAGATGTATTTATTTCAAAAGTTTTGGAAAATGAGTGTGTGGATAGGGTACCTCTATTACTCCATAGAAAAAAGCAGACTTTTTTTCTTTGACCTGTCACTGATGCTATTCTAAATTCCTTTAAAAATAGTTAGTCTAGCTCAAAAATAGGCAAATTCAACTCAGCACCTGTTTGGTATATGAAGTTTCATTGGAACACGGCCAGGCTCATTCATTTACAACCACACTCATTTGTTTAGATATCTGTGGCTGCTCTTGTATGCTAGTGGAAATCAAGTAGCCACAGAAGCAATATGGCTTGCAAAGGCAAAAATACTATCATGCCCTTTACAGAAAAGGTTTGCCAACTCCAGATCTAGAGTCTAGACTTTAGACTAAAGTAATAACTTAGAAATCTTGGTTTGCAAAGTAACTCTTGGTTTTTCATAACCATGTGATTCCATGTTTGGACAAAAAGGAAGTTTTTGGATTTGAGGAGGAAAGCAAAACCCCAAGAGAAAAAAGGTCATAGCACTACATAACAGAACATGAGCACAACTCCTTGTTTGGTTGTGTTAACTAATGGCAGCAGCAGCAGGAAGATATGGAGAAATCTGCATCTTCCTAGAGATATAATGTTATACTGTAGATTCTTCGAGCATTTGCACCACAGATCACAGAATATTTTACCTCAGTTTACTGTTGCAATGGTGACATCGGAAGCAGGACTTATGAAAACTCTGTTTGTCTGCTACTAGGCATTCCATTGGATAAACTCTCTTTTGACAAAGTATACATAATTCCTTGTCTTGGAGCAGCAGTTTCTAAAAATAAAAATTTACAAAAGCTTATACTTTTTAAAGCTTCAATTGCATTGTAAAAACACAACAAAACACAACAACCACATATTGATTGGTCATGCAGTTAAAGTGGAAAGCTCTGACTATTGTCCTTACTTTGCTTCTCTGGCCCTAGGCTAACCTACCAAGGGCCAAGTCTGGTAGAATGATCAACATTACTTTAATGCGTCTACCATTTATAGTAGAGGCTCACACCTAACTTCATCCAGTTTTTTATTTTCAAAAGCATTCTAGATAGATCTTTCTAAATTATATACATATCTTTTTAAACCAAGGACATTGTATATGTTTCAATATTTTCTTGATGACTTAGAGGTGACTCTAAGATGTCAACTCTTAACTGTAATATAATGAGATTGCTGAATATATTGAAATACTCAGTATCATTTGTCCTCAACCTCCAGACTCAGAGTTTTTGGATTCCCACACTGGCTTTTTGTTGTTTCCCTACTTCTTTTCTTGCTCTGATGTATCTGTAGTCATTTCCTGGTGCTTTCATGTGAACATTAGCCAATATGAATAATAGTAGCTATATTACCAGCCAGTGTTTGTATAAGAGTTTAAAAATTAGCACAAACCTTTTACTTCAGTAAAAGTTCTCACAGTAATCCTGTGGGAATGACTAACCTTTGATTTTAGTCCTTTATTAGAGTACTTTGTTCAGAGTACTTTATACAAATAAATATATACACTTTAGTGCCTAAATGCTCAATCTGGGCCACTGAGGGGGCTCCTTTGTTTATGTGGTTCTAGCAGAGGATGCATTTTTATATTTAACACCAGTTTCTTTTTTTTCTATGTGTTATTGAGCTATCTTAACAGAAACTGAGCATTTGAAATTAATTAGACAGCTTTGCTTAATTATACCAGAAACAAGCACATTAAGAACCATATTAACCTGATAAACTAGACACATATGTTACAAATATGATAGAGGTATAATTATTAGTTTCAGCAGTTTTTGTTTTTAAGCTTGTTATTTCTTTCAATCTCTCTAAAAGCATGAACTACACTAATGATGTATACTAATTATGTCAAATTCTTTTATCATGAAGCTTCATTAATTGTTACAAGTAGGGAAAAACAAAGAAATGAGTTGTTCTCTGATGATAAAAAAAAAGTACTAAGTTTACATAATTTAAATCTCTCTCCCTCCAAATATAATCACATTTTACAAATTCATGCTCCTTTGTGAATGAGGTCAATTGAGCTGTCATTTGGGATTTATTTTCAGAAAAGTGAAAAAAATCAGTTATGAAGAAGAAAAGTGGCATCAGAGGAAGCTAACTGTATCGACTCAATAATAATAATAGAATATTCAAAAGATCACATTCCACACCTACACTTTTTTCAGAGACAGATCAATAAACATCCTTAAAGCACATATGAAGAGTGTAAATTGTTTCTTGGATTATGATCAGCCTGTATTGAATTCAATGCAAAGACCATTTAAGTCTGGCAATTAAAAATACGTCAATATCAGACCAAGGGATATACTTAATATTGTTTAAAACAATTGTATGTAATAATAACTTTTAATAAGAAACATTAGTCATATAATTGCTAATGATATCATAATAACAAATTTTGCTTTATCTGATGCTTTATCCAAAGCTTTATTTACCTTGACAAATGTAGGCCTTAATAATCTATAAAACAGCATTTGTTATTCTCACATAGTGCAAGTGAATCATACTAGATGCTTTTGTAAAGAGCAATTAGTAAAAACAAGCGTATAAAGAGGATACAAGCATACAGAGGAGGTTGTTAGTTTTAGGTTATACTGTTTGGTTATTTCCACACACCCTCTTAACTGCAAATCAGCTCGGCTATGGAACACATGCCTATAAGTGGTTAATCTTCTTTCACACGTTGCAGGCTCATTTACCACTTATAAATGCAGATTCCTCTTGCAAAGTGGTTCTCATCTCAGTTGCAGAAGCATCTGAGGTTGCATAATCCAGGCTTTTAAAAACTCTTTCACTCTCCTGCCACGTGTTTTGAAAATTTTTCCTGAGTTCTTTAGGTGACTCAGAGATATCTAAAATATGGCCAGCAATGACATCTTCATAGGTTGGTGGGGCATGCTTGAAGTCAAAGCCAGATTTGCCAGCTTGTGAACTATGTGATGAAGAGATCTTCATCTTTGTCTCAACAGTTTGATTCTCAAATGCATCCATGCCTGAGAAATGTTCACTAAGAGACCTTGTTTCAGAGCAAACCCTGGGCTGTTTAATGGGAATTTTTTCTTGCAGGTCTCTAGGATGCTTGCAAGAAAAGTCTGTAATACTAGTGTTCCCTAAAGATGTTAATCCAAATTCCTCCTTACAAAAGGCATGACTTTCTTGTCTTATATTATGATTTGCTTCTCCATTTGCATAAACTCTTCTGTTTGACTTTGCTTCAAAAACTGGGCCATGCTTAAATTCCCCGAACCATCTGTTTATTTCATTTTCACTGTCATTCACAAAATTTTCAGCCATTTGAACAGTTCGGTTGGCTGCTTCATATCGCTGTGTATGCTCTGATAGGTGAGGCACTTCGACCTTGCGGATAATTTCAACTGCATCATAACTTTCAGTATCTGGCACCATGTGGTCAGTGGCATTTACTCCATCCTTGTGAACATAAGTTGCCCTTTTTTCTACTTTCCTAACTTCCTCTTGAGCTTCCATGGATTCTCTGAAGGAACCACTAGCAGCATGATTTATGCTTACAGGTATTGTGATCGTAGGTGGAGAGTCACTACCTCGAGCTTCTATCTTAATTTGACGACGAAGTGTTGCAGGAGACACAATGATTTCAGACCTCTTCTCTACGATGGGAACCGGGGTTACTGATGGACATGGGATGGTCCCTCTGGATAGCTTTTCAGTGGTGTCTCTGAGTCTGACAAGTTGTTCAGAGCGACTCCTGGGTGGAGAAGGAGAGGTGTTTACTCTGTGAATTCTAGATGTTTGTGGCATGGATCTTCTTGGTGGGGATTCAACACAATCGTCCTTCTTAGGGAACTGAGAAAGCTCATCCTTAGTAGAGGCTTCTGTTTGTCGGGCAGTAGACTCAATTGTTATAAAAGTAGGGGATGGAGGTCGTGTTTTTAAAGATGGAGGCGAAATCTTGCTATCATCCAGTTTAATTTCTTGATGGGTCTTTGCATGAGTATGAACAGTTGCTTCATGATGAGCTGCTACTTGGTGGTGTACTGTTTTTTCTTCTGTGATTTTATTTTCTTTCTGTTCAGTGTTTTTATTCGAGCTGACCTTAGATACTTTGGATGATGCTTCATTAAGGCTAATAGGCTTATTCCTCTGCTTTTCTGTTTTAGAGGATAGCATGGCTGTCTGAATTACATTTTCACAGGACATAAGCATATCCTCTGCTTGCATTTTAATGTGTGCTATTTCCTCTTTTACTTTTTCTAAATCATTCTCCATGGCAATGCGAACTCCATATTCTCTTTGTTCTTCACGTATCAGCCATACTGGGATAGTATTTAACAGTGTCTGAAATGTTTTAAGGCCACTTTTATTTGGCTCTACTTCAAACTGTTTTACTCTAGACAAAATCTGCTGTAGTTCTTCACGTTTTCTCAAGAATTCTAATACATTTATGGCACATTTTCCATCATCCTGCTGGGACTCTTTCACAGAGGAAAATAAAGATTTGTTCTGTGTAATCTCTTGCTTTGAATCTTTCATATTAGAGAAGACTTGTTTCTGTGGTATGCCCTTGACTAGGAGACATTTTTCTTCCTTTGGACTATTATATGGCTGGGGCAATTTTTTATGTTCAACTTTGCTTTCAGAGGTCTGTATTTGTGTTTGCTGAAAATTCTGAATCTGTGAATCAAGATGTGCATCAATAACATTTTGCTTCATTCCCTTTGGTACTGACTTATTCTTCCAATGTTCATGTTTTCTTTCAACTATAAACCTCTCTTCTTTTGAACCAATTATTGATGATCTTTGTTTATTTTCTTCACTTACTGGGAGTTTCCCTTTCTCAGCTCCACTACGTTCTCTTTGCTTCTCATGAACTATCTTGAGCTTACCTTCATGATTCTTCTCTGTGGATTCTGTAGGCACCTTTATTGTCACTCTTTTCTCCTTCTTAGGGAGTTGATGATATTTTTCAGCCATAGATTGCTTATTACTATATTCAGTGCTTGCTTCAGTTTCCTGATACTGTTGTTTGGCAGTGGTTTGAACATCAACTTCAGTTTGCTTTTTCTGACTTTCATACCTGTAGTCCATTTCATTTAACGTATGATCTAGAGTTGGAAGCTTGATGGTTTTAACTTTGAAACTTGGGGAAGCTGGTTTACTTTGGGGCAAGTGCAACTGCTCCATATACTTCTTCTGTTGTGTTTGTTGGGTACTATGTTCTTGGTGACTCTGATTAATTTCACAAGCTGATTTAGATTGCATAATGTCCCTTGAACTTTGTAAAACTTCCTTTTTCATGTTATCTTTGTCTTCTGAGGCTGCTAGAACATGTTGGAGCCTCTTGGTTGCAACTGTTACTGATGATGTTGTTGAGAGCTGGTTGTCAGAACACACTCCTAGTACTTGAGCATTACTTTGAGAGTCTGGGTTGGGTTGAACCACAGTGTGCTCAGAATCAGTTTCAGACAGAGGAACCTCCTCATTTGTTTTTTGTAATGGCATTTTCTTTTCCAACTCTGACATGTTTTGATTTTGGCTTTCTGTTATGACTTTGTTGTAGTAAGAACTCTCCTGTTTTTGTTTCTTGAGCTCTTCTCTTTGCTGTCTGTACTTTTCTTCAGCAATCATCAAAGGTGTCTTAAATTTTCTCATATAAGGTTTTGGACTTTGTTGTCCTGAACTTACTGGAAATGAATGAGATTTTAGAAGAGGTGCTATCTGTTTTTTCTTGGGTGCTGAAGTTTCTGCAGCTGTTTGTGAGAGAGACTTTGCAGAGTCAATAGATAATTGTTTTGTTTCATCAAGATTTTTTCTAATTATGTTCTGCTTTGTCTCTGTGTGTTCACTGTTAGTCGCCATCATTATGCTTTTCTGATCCATTGATGGAGTAATTTTACATTTCATATCTGACAGGATATTTTCCAATTCCATTTTTTGGGAAAGATGGTTCATTTTATCTTGTATATGCTTAGGAAGTTTGGGTTTGGGCAACGTGGGAGGTGGCAGCACACCTGATTTTCCTGTTAGGATTTTAGCCTGAGAATGAGTTTGCTGAGAGCTTGTGTCTTCTTTTCGGGAATATTGTTGTATGAATGCTCCACTGTGCTTTTCTGGAACAGAGGAGGAGAGGAGATGTATTGATTTTTGTGAAGGAGTTGGAGGAGGAGGAGGCGGTAGAAACATTGATAGACATTCTTTTTCAGATTTCGCGTCTTCTGGAGGTGGAGGAAGAGGGAGACCTGGAAAGTTTTCAAATTCAGCCTGTATCTTCTCTGCAGATAGTGAGGGAGGAAACACATGTTTTTCAGGAAACATCATTAAAGGAGGTGGAGGAGGAAGGGGAAATTCAATTTCAGATGATGCATTGGAAGGTGGAGGAGGAGGTGGAGACGGAGGAGGAAGAGGGTACTCAGTTTCATTCACATCATTCTCAGGGTTAAAGTTGATTGGATTAAAGGATCTTTCCATTGCCCTTTTTAAGTCTGTGGAAGTATTTGTCTTCATTAGAAAGTTCTGGTTTTTCAAATGAGCATTAGTCTCCTGCTTTTTGTCAATTGCCTTATATTTATTGTGACTTTTTTCTGAGACTTTCGCTTTTGCATTAGATATGTCTTGATCTACAGACAAAAGCTGCTGCACTGGTTGAGGGTTAATACTCTTTTTCTTTATATCCTTGTTAGAATATTGCATTTCTTGATTTAACACAGTTTGCTTCTGCAAGTCCCCTGAAACTTTATCAGTCTCTTCGACTGGCATGGGACTGGGCTTGGAGCTTTGTATATCTGTGGATATTTTAATGTTTTGGGTCATTTTAGGATTTTTTACATGGAAAGCCTCAGTTTTCTGGTGGTCATTCCTTAGTTCACAGGTCTGTTGCTTTCCAACTATTTTATGAACTGATTGGGTGGAGTTAAAGTTATCATCCGTCTTCAGCTCTCTCACTACTCTGTCTGATTCTTCTGTTTTCAGATTTTCCTTAACTGACACAGGTGAAGTTAATTGTCTACTCATATGTTCATCTCTAAGATGCTGCTCTCTTACAGTATCAGTCCAGACACCCATTCTGTCTTCTGATTCCAGCACATTTTTCATAGCTTTCTGGTGTGAATTAGATAGTCTTCTAAGGCTTTTCTCAAGAGCATCATTGTTTTGTTCACGATCTATGACAATCTTTACGGTGCCTTTGGGGCCTTTTGGAAGATTAACTTTGGTTCTTTCTTCTAGTGAATTCCCATGACAAGATATTCCCATAGGTTGGCTGAGAGCATCTGGTTTCTTTTGCCACTTGGTTGCTGACTCAAATGGTACTGGCCTAGAATGAAGATGTTTTTTGTTCTCCTGGACAGCTACCTGATGAATCTCTGTTTTCTGCCCTTCTGAGGACCCATATGTCATAGCCTGAGAGTCTTCTTTTATTACACCTTCTTTATCCACCTCTTTAAAACCTCTTTGTGTTTCTTTCAAAGAATTTAAAGATGTTTCAAGGTCATCAAGGATGAGTTCTTTTTTCAGGATTTCTGTCTTTGTATTTGTAGCCTTTTCAAGGCATTTAATAGCTTTCTCAATATCACTAGGAATGGCATCAGGCTGTTTAGACTCTTTCCTTTGGTGACTTGATTCTTTAAGTGACTTGAGAGTGGCCAGTATGTTACCTTTATTAATTTCTTCTGTTTTAGTCACTATTTTCTGATTTATGGACTGACTGAGGGAACTTAAGGTTGATGTCAAATCACCTTTTGTAATTTCTTCTTTGGGTGTCTTATCAGATGTACTCTGAGGCTCTGCCATAAAAACCTTAACCGTATTATGCACATCCCCTGGGATAATGTCAGTTTCATTAACAGTACGTTCAATCTGAGACTGCCTTTTCTTTAGTAACAGCTTTGTGCCTTCCACATCACCACCAATTATTTCTTCCTCTCCTTGTTTCTCAGTTGTTGGTGTTTCATTTGACCCTGTCTGGAGTTGCTTGAGATAATCCAAAGCTCCAGTTTCTATGCATGTTGTGAAAAACTGAACATTTCCCCTCTCAGAGGCATCAATTTTAGCCCTTTCAGATATTTTATTGTTTGATGTGGAAGACAACAAATTATGAATGGTACGTCTCACATCACCCCCTATTATTTCTTCACGCTGAATTGTGTCACCAGCATTTTCATGAAGAAGACAATAAATAGTCATGTTAATATCTCCTCTTTCATCTTCCTGAATTAAAATGCCTTTCTTGAGAGACTTTTCCTCAGAGAACAGGTTTTTTATTGCTTGCTGTACATCACCTCTCACTATCTCTTCTTTTTCAGCATGAAATTCAGTTGATCTGTTTAATAATTGAGTTTTAGTCAAATTAACATTTCCCTTCTCTTCTTCACTAACCAAAATTTCCCTTTTTGTAGAGTCTCTTTCAGAAAGGAGGTTCAACATTATATTGCTGAGATCAACCCTGATAATTTCTTCCTTCTGTACTTCAGGAGATGCTTGGTTCATCAGCTTGTATTTTGCCATTCGAACATCCCCAACTTCATCAGCTTCAATGATTATTCCAGGAGCTTGAATAACTTTTTGAGAGTAGAGATCTTCCAAGGTTTCTTTAATGCTCTTGCCTATAATTTCTACCTTTTCTACTCTAGTTTCATTAAATTCATGAAGGGGTGTTGTTTCAAAGAGCCATGTAGTTGTTTTGACATCAGAAGAAGGAATTTCTTCCTTGGCCATTTTTGTGATGCTTTCATCTCCTTCCTTAATAGAATCGAAAGTTTGATTTTCAAAAAGCCATACTGCTTGCTTAACATCACCTTTCTGCACATCTTCTTGAGTGACTGTCTTGATATTTTCATATTCTAACCCTTCTCCTCTCAGCTCATCTATAGTATGGGTTTCAAATAGCCAAGTAGATGTTTTAACATTTCCCTTTTGTATTTCATTGACACTTACTGTTCTTACATAATTTTTCCTATCAAAAATTTCAGACTCAAAGAATTGTTTGCTTGTCTTTACATTGCCACCTTGAATAGAGTCAACAGTGGGAACAATATGATGTGATTCTTCTGAAATCTGATCCAGTGGTTGAGTTTCAAATCTGTATCTGACAGAACTAACATCTCCCTTCTGAATGTCTTCTTGTGTGACAGATTTAATAACATACACAGTTTCTGATTCATTTATTGAGTCTAATGGTTTTGTTTCAAAAAGCCACCTTGTTCCTCGCACATCTCCATGAATTACCTCTTCCTTTTTAACTGTTGTTACTTCATGATAGTACCCTTCTCGGTCTTGAATTGCATAGAGTGGCTGAGTTTCAAAGAGCATTCTGTAGCTTTTTACATTACCCTTTATTATTTCTTCAGTAATTGTTTCCTTGGTGCTGATATAGTCAGATTCTTCTTTAATCTCATCTAAAGAAAAGGTCTCAAAAATAAAACACCCCTTTCTTACATCCCCACTTTGTATGTCTGTCACTGTCTTTACTAATTTATCACCTTCTTGGTTTTCTTTTATCCTATCAATTGGTTGGTTTTCAAAAAGCCACCTACAATTTAAAACATTGCCTTTCTGAATATCTTCAGTTTTTAGAATTTTGATCTTTTTCAAAACTTCCTCTGAACTGGAACTCATAGAATCTAGGGATTGATTTTCAAATTTGTACCTCATGCTAGAAACATCCCCAGCTTGTATATCCATTTCCACTGACTTGATTTCCTTCCCTTCTTCTCCTTGTATATTGTCCAAATTTTCTGTCTCAAAAAGAAAACATGCTGTACGAACGTCTCCACCTTGGATCTCCTCCTGCTTTACAGTTTGCAATTTAACTGTTGTTTCAGAGTCATCTTTTATGGTATCAAGTGGCTGAGTTTCAAACAGCCAAGTACAGGTTTTGACATCACCCTTATGAATTTCCTCACCGCCAGTCATTAATGAGACTTTTTCATAAAGAGTTTCCATTGGCTGAGTTTCAAACAGCCATTTACATGTTTTGACGTCCCCTTTAACAATATCTGTAGCTTGCTCAGTATTACTTTCTGTTTCTTCCACATTACTAAAATATTTAATTGAATCAAGAGGTTGGGTTTCAAACAACCATTTAGCAGATTTCACATTTCCAGCTTGTATTTCTTGTGCAGATATTCCTCTAATTACTTGAAATTTATGAATGCTTTCATCAAACTGGTCAATAGGCCTTGTTTCAAAAAGCCACCTACAACTCTTTACATCACCTCTTAGAATTTCTTCTTGCTGGACTGTTTTTACTTGATGATATTTTCCAAGGTGATCTTGAATGGCATACAGTGGTGTTGTCTCAAAAAGAGATTTATTTAACTCTACAGCACCATGTGTGACTCCTTCCACCTCTATTTTATGTGATGCATCAAATTTAATTAAATTGTTTGATTCAAAGATATGTGTGTAATTTCTGACATCTCCTCTGTCAACTTCTTCAAGCTTCACTGTTCGTGTGTGTTCCTTTTTATCTTCTCTAATCTCTTCCAGAGGTTGTGTTTCAAAAATCCACTTTTGGTGCCGAACATCCCCCTTTTCTTCTTCAGTAGTAGTGATTTTTGAAAGCTTTCCTACATCAGGACTATCTTTTAATGCCTCTATTGGAAGTGTTTCAAATAGATGTTTAGTAGTTTGTACATCACCTCCTATTATCTCTTCATGCGGTAGAGGATCTGAATCAGGAACTTCTTTTAGAATGTCTAATGGCTGTGTTTCAAACATCCAACACTTTCTGGAGACATCTGTACCTAGTATTTCTTCCTTTTCAATGATGACTTCTTCTGACTCTTTAATTTTCTCCAAAGGCTGGGTTTCAAATAGCCACTTTGCCCTACTCACCCCACCTTTGACGTTTTCTTCCATGGATATTCCTCGAACAACTTTAATTTCTGTAATATCTTTGTTTATTGTATCCAGTGGCTGTGTTTCAAACATCCAACGTGCTGTTCTTACATCCCCCTTTTCAACATCTTCTCTGTGAACAGTTTTAATTTCTAGCATTTGACCCAAACCGTCTCTAATAACATATAATGGTTGGGTTTCAAAACATTTTATACTTCTTTTAACATTTCCCTTAATTTCTTTGAGCTCAGACCTAAGCTGCAGTAAGTGAACCTCATCCACTGAATGAAGCTGTCCGAGTTGATCTAGATTTTGAGTTTCAAACATGTATCTCACAGTCTTGACATCCCCACCAGTTATGTCCTTAATGACAGTTACTGCTGATTCTTCTTGACTTTGATGCATTTTATTCATTGAGTCTAATGGCCTTGTTTCAAACATCCACCGGGCTGTGTGGACGTCTCCTCTGGCTAGTTCAGGAATTTTCTCGGCATTTTCTTCAGTGCCAGGAGAATGAGCCCTCAGTGTATCTATAGGTTGGGTTTCAAACATCCATGTGGTATATTTCACATCACCGCCAGCAATGATTTCTTGATCAGCAATGGCCTTGGAAATGTTCTCTTCATCAGGAGAGCCATTGTTGATGGAATCTAATGGCTGGTTCTCAAAGATCCATCGAATGGACTGTACCTCCCCCTTCAGAATTTCATCCCATTCCAAGTGCTCTCTCTCTGAGTTCAGATTTTTTTGAGAACTATCATTTGTATTTTCAAAAACATATCGAGTTTGTTGCACATCTGCAGAAACTGAGTTCCCTGAGTTTATTTGACTAGAAACAATCTCAGAAACCTCACTGATATAATCTTTTTCTAAGTTTTTTCTTAACTCAGGATGGATATGTTTATATAAACGGTTTAATTCATACAAATTTCTTTGCTTGGAATATAAATCTTTGGGGACTGGTAGTTTTCTAAGATTGCTAGGGAATTCAGGGGACTGGGAAAATGCTGTCACATCTACTGGAGTTTGAAGTACATCAGGTGAGGGAGGAGGGAATTCTTCCATCTTTCCTGAAGAAGCAGCATTAACTTGTGCCAGCGTTGAGGAAGTGATACTGTGATCACTATATCTTGTGGTTAATGTTTTCTTCCTCTGGCTGGTTGAAATGCAAGAAGAGGAAGAGGTATCCACAACCAATGATGGATTTAAAGTCTCTTCGCATTCACCTTCAATCTTTAGGGGAGAGAAAATCAAATCTTATAAAGGTAAGTATAGTGGTAGAGTCTTCCCAGATTCTGCCCTTCATTGGTCTCAACCAGGACCCTTCTATGACATTTCCAAGTGAAAAAGCAGATGATATACTTCGTTAAAGACCTACTTAGGAGCAATATTCAATCATTGTTACTATCATTCCTGCAATCAATTTTTGCTAGTAAAGTTATATTCCCCATTCAATGCATCAACAACTCAGTATTTTAACATACTCAATATTGACACATAATCTTTATTTTTCCCTCTTTATTTAATGTGGTATGCAGAGTAATCTAGAGGGAAACTATAAAAGTTTTAAAGTAATTTGAAGGGTTGTTTTCCTTGGAATTTTAAACAGAACAGAGTAAGCATCTGACTTTTAAAATTGACTTAAATACTTTATCTAATGTTAGTAACTAAATTTTAGAGCATACATAATTTTTTCTTCCCTCATTTTCTTTAGTGAGAAAAGTTTTTACCTCTTTTCTAGTGCAGGTCAATATTCTCCTTACGGAATGGCATAAGTACTGTTTCAGGATATTTTTTGTGGAAATGCTAGTTCAACTATTCAATAATTTGAAAATGTTATGCACTTAAGCTGGATTTTACACTTATTATGTTTCTGGGTAAGGAAATTACCTTACCTTAATCTGCTTGGCTGGGGTTGTCATTTCCTTGTCAGAATAAAGGATCTTTTCCTGGGCAGACTTTTCAAATTGTTCTTTTAATAATTTGGTTGAAACTTTTGGAATCTCATCATCCTCAGGAGTATCAATGACTACAAAGAGAGAAAAAAAAAAACAGGGTTATTATGTAATTAATAAAAATTATGCTGAAGAAGATATTAAAATACTATGAGAATCATTACACAATGCAGATTAAATTAGAAGATATATGGTGCAAACATACATATGGCATTATTTCATTATGTAATTTAAGAATATAGCAAGAAATACAGGAGAAGAAAATAGGAAGAAAATTGTTAGTGGTTATCTCTGGATGGAAATACTTTTCCAAATTTTCTCCAAACATGTCCTACTTTTATGCTCATGAAAAAATAATAGAAGTTATAATACAAGAAAAGAATAGTTGAGAACCTACATTTTAAAGTAGTAAAACAAAAATAAAGATAAAGTCTACAGTGAAGTAATGTTTTGATCACAGTTGGCTTAAATCTCCTCTTTTAGCTCTTTGGGGCAGCAAAACTAATTTCCCTTTTATAAGTTAGACAAAATGTGCCCTGTCTTATGCAAACTTGCACAAATTTGCTATAGTTTAATCTCTAATATGTAGGATGGAGCACTAGAATTAATAGTGCATCTGTTATGAAAATTAGTTCAATCTAGATAACAAATCTATTCTCAGGGAGGTTGAGGAACATTGAGTTTTATTGTAGGTCCCTGAGGCTAAAAGGAGTTTGGAAGTGGCTCACTTATCACCCTTTAGGCTTTAAGATGAATACACCATAAGTCTGATGGGCAATGAGTTATTTTAGAATCCTATGACATCTATTACCATAGGCAAAATCCAATTACATATAGAAATTCTACTCAGCTTCTTGGGGACCATGAGTCATAGTTACTAAAGTCACTAAACAGGAAGGAGTGTGCTTTGGAAGTCCTCCATTCAAACACACACACATCAGTAGGAGAAAGGAGTATGGGGGACAGTAATGCCAGACTCTTACCTGTTTCTTGAACATATTGATGAAACTGAGAAGCTTGGTTTATTTCCTCAATGTGCTTTTCAAGATGAGAGACCTATGTTTAAAGATAATTTTAAAAAATTGTTTTTCAGAGGTCGGTTATTTCAGTACTACACATAATTTTCTCAATTTTACAGTGATTTTCATCCAAAGCTTTAGTGTTCATTGAAAGATGCTAATTCAGCCTTTATAATTTATTTTAATGCATATACACACTATAACAGAACATATTTGAGTTGACACCTAAAGTGTGACCGTATTTTTAGGGTGCCTGTTTTACTATTAAAAGAATGTCAATTCAAAAGCAGGGAGACACTGATTGATACTGATATGAAATAAATAAAGGACAATAAAAGCAAATGTTTACAACAAAGTCAGAATTCCCACATAGTTCTGCGAACTGTCTGGAAAGTACCATTTTTCTAAGTAGTTACCGTTTCTGTTCCAAGAACACCAATTTTGTGTGGTTTGGACACTTCTTGCTCATTTCTTGCCGTTTCCTGGCCGCTTCTTGAAATGTCGACCTGGCTGCTATGAGTTACCTCCTGAAAACAAACAGGCAGACAATGCCTTTTAAAAGTCTAAAAATTTTAATTGTTATAATTAGTGTAATTTAAGTGACAGAGGTTTCTGAAAAAAAAAAAAGGTTCTTCAGTGTATTAGTTTGTGTGGCTGCTATGACAAATAATGACAAATTTAATGGCTTAAAATGGCATACTCTTATCATCATCTTACATTTTTATAGATCAGAAGTCCTGAATGAGTCTCACTGGATGTTGGCAGGTGTCAGAAGGTATGCATTCCTTTCTGCAAGTAGCAGGGGAAAATTCATCCCCTGCTTTTTGCAGCTTCTAGAGGCTGCCCACTCTCCTGAGTTCCTGGCCCCCTTCTCTTTCAGACTGAGACCTTCAAGCCATCTGTCTGATCCTCTCTTCCACGTTTAAGGACCTTAGTGATTACATTGAACCAACTCAGATAATTTAGGATTATCTCCCTGTCATAAAATAAGCTAATTAGCAATTTAATTCTATGTGCAATCTTAACTACACTTTGTCATGTAATGTAACATATTCATAAATTCTGGGGATCAGGACATAGATATCTTTGGAGACTATTATTCTGCCTATGACCCTCAGGAAGCAAAAAATGTTAACAATACATCTTGCACCCGGTATGAAAAAGATAAACCTCAAAAATAAATATATTTTCTTGTTTATAAACCACACTTTCATGTTACAAAAAGACATTCTAGTCTTCAAACTGACTTCAAACTGACCATTCAATGTAAAGACATTCAGAGATCAGTTAAAGAATATAACTATTGGGCTGGGCTCCGTGGCTTAGCCTGTAATCCTATCACTTTGGGAGACTGAGGCAAGTGGATTGCCTGATAAAACCTTTAACTGTAACCAATATAAAAAGATTATATTATGCTAGTGAGTATCTCCTTATCTTTTCACACACCAGTTTACTTTTGATTTTGGTTAAGTTAGCTCAGATGACCCTGACAGAATAGGAAATGTGACACTTCTGTTAGTTTTAGTTAATCCAATCCTTTTTTACTACAGAATATGATTATGACACAAGCATGTGATTGATTGGTTAATATGATAAAGCAGTTAGCATACTGCTAAAAATCTTAACATCGAAAAACAAAGCTATAGACAGATGACACTTTACAAAAGCACATGTATTAGAACATGCTTGCAGTTGTAACTTTACCTTTATTTTTATATCCAAGTGACCAATAAATGTTATTTTTGAGATTTGAATTTTAGAAATTTGTCTTAGTAGAGAATAGTCAAGTGAGCAAGGGTATATTATCATTATTAAAGAGAGTTACTATTTTTTTTTTTACAATGAGTTAGTTTTAAACTATCAAATTCTAATCCCTTAAACCAAGAATAAATGTTAAATCAATTCATGAGATCTTTACCTGTAGTTTTTTTTTTTGTCAAGCAACTTGTAGTATGTGACTTTTTTCCCCAAGGATATTTGGTATATATGGTTATGGTCTGATTACCTAAGAGCAGTCAGTTATTTATTTAGAAATGTATAATATAATCTGTTTTTATTATACTTTTCTCGAAAGGAGAATTTTTTAAAAAGTTGAGACTCTTCCAGAAGTCCTACAAAGAATTGAAAGCAAAATGTAGCTTATATCTCATTTTAAATTGAAGATCACTGTAGCCTTTTTTTTTTCTCAGCCCTAGTTAATAATCCACATATTTCAAATGGTATTTGGTAATGCATTTGACATACAGATTTTGTGCTAAAGTAAACTTCACATAATGAATATGTGGAGAATGAATAAAATAACAAACATCCACAAATAAGTTAATTATATTCAAACGTCTATTTGCCAAGAATGCTGTTGAAACTGAAGATAGAACAATGAACAAAATACTTTCTCAAGAAAGAGTAAAGAAAGTGAATGATACATGCTATTTCCTTTAAGTTTAGAGAGTCAGAATTCCATATAACAGGATACTTTGCATAATCAAGTTTTACTTAAAGAGATCAGTAGCATTGTGCTGGAGAAAGCAGTAACAATCATTGAAGACTGCAGATAGAAAAAAAAAGCATGGGCACAAATGATAATTCTTTACCTCTGTGACAAATCTTTCCAACCATAAGGGATGTAATGGGACTGTTCTATGGATTTCTTATACACACACCAAGAAATAAGCACCAATTAAATAGATCCCCAAAATAACAGAGGAGGGAGGGAACCTGATCAGAACCACAGTCTCAGAACTGTGCCTCTGCCTAGAGGCCTACATGAAAACTGTGGCCTAGAGACATGTTTTTTATTTGACCCACAAGGTGATTTTAAAGATTTAAATTAGAGAACATCTGCAAACATCAGACTTTCTTTCTGCTTTACAAAGCTCTGAAGGTATGATAACACTGGATTCATAGTCCAACATGGCAGCACCTGACTGGGAAAAAAATCATATACTTTTCAGTTGGGACTTATACCTTTCAGTTGACCACCATCCTTATCACTACGCTGACATTTTTAAAAACCTGGCTTGTACCTGTGGAAATGTGAGTTTCTCATACTTGTCACCAATCTGAAAAAGTAGAGTTAATGATATAAACTTTTGTGATGAGAAAAACAAATGTGGGTATATTTAGAGTGGAAAAACTGTAAGTTAATGTTGTTTTAACATATATTTTAAAGGTTATCATTTTCTGGGGTAAACAATGTACAGTTAATGTGTGCCTGCTTGAGTAAAAGCAGTCCATACATGTCATCTCTAAATATAGTTTTTTTGTGGTAGATGGCACAACATAAACAGTACAAATGTACATGAATTCTGTTTAAAGTGGCAAGTTTCTACTCAGCATTTATGTGCTATTACTAAATAGAACTGTAATTGCTACACTAGTTTGGTATGTTAGCATCAATGCATCAATTTTACTGCCCCCTGGTTGCTGTAACTTACATAAAGTCTGTCCTAAAGTATCTATAGATTTTGTTTCTACAGTTTATTTTGATTCATATTTTGCAACTAGTTTAGTGTGGGTTTAACTTGACTTTCTTTCTTCCTAATTCTTGGTGTCTACGGAATGTAGAGTCAAGTAAAACAAGGGATTATTCAGCAACATGAAATTGCACAAATAACACTTAATAAAGAATTCTGGTAGGAGCACCATACATACGTTTGCACAGAAAGTCATGAAATTGGTTCCTTAAAATTAAATGTAAATGTAGGCCAGGCTACAAGAGACAAATATTATTTTGTTCACAGGTTGCTTTTTGATCATAGTAGCAGGGAATGGGGGATTAGTCCTAACTCCCTCCTCTTCTGGGTATGTTGTAATCTTGGGTAAATCACAAAACTATACTTAAACTCAGTTTTTTTCCATCTCATGCAGCCATTAAAAGAAAGAAAAATGGATAACATGCATGTTCTAGCATTGGAACTTAAATGAGAAACTACAGCACAATTACAAGCAAAATTATGATGTTTTCATATCTCACACCAATCTGAAGTCATCTCATATGTTAACCAAATGTATTACAAAAATCTATTGTTGATATACACATCTTCTAAAGAGATTTCTCCAGCACTGGAAAGTGTTTACATTCTGCCTATCCAACTTTTCATTGTTACTACCATTATAGAAAGAAACATTATACATTTCTACCAATAAAATTGCAGACTCATTCTAGTACAATGAGTAAGGAAAATGGACACTTTAAAAAAAATGGTGACCCACCGGTACTGTGACTCTTACAAGTATACCGAATACTTGTACAAAAATACACACATACACACACACACACACACACACACACACACACACACACACACACACATGATATATATATGAGGGAACATTATTAGAAAAGTAGATGACAGCTGCCTCACCAGGGTGGAAAAAACAGAACTTCATGTTCAATGCCAGTAATTCAGCAATTTTACCCATCACTAATTTCATTTTTAATAAAACTAGGAAGAGTTATGATGTATTAATGTTATTTGCATCTTTGTTAAACAGACATAAACAATATCGAAAACATGCTGTTTAGTTTAGCAAAAATGTCAATGGATTCAAGGTCTGAAAGAATAATCAGTGATGGGCACATAAATTAGTGGTTCATCACTGTGTTTGTCTGGATTTGGATATATTCAAATTCAAACATATTTTTCTTTTGCTCTGAGTTTTTCCTTTTTATGTTTTAACTAACCCTTAAAAATTACAATATACAATCTGATTATTCCTAGGGTTTGAATGCAAGGTAAAAGCTTTTCCACAATTACTATAACCTCCTAAAGAATTAGCTCATTTTTTCTTTATTTTTGAAATCTTTCTCAGCTTTTCTGAAAAAGGTTAGTAATTCTTCCTTACTTTTTTTTATTCACTGACTGTCAACGCACATCTCTATTGTCTACCCATCATATTTAATACTCACCATTTGCTAATATGACTATCTCCATTAAATGAACTATGAGTCTATTGCATGCATTCTCAAATCTCAATGTTTACCTTGTAGGTACGCAGTAAATGCTCAATAAAATATCAAAGAGTGAATGCATGGACAAATACACTAGTCACTTTTATCAGAAGTGTGAAAATGTTATGATTTTGTATCTTCTTTAGAAATTGAGATTCTACATTTTTTCCACATTGTCATATGACTTTATTTTTTGGTATTTTGGCTTACAGTCTTTGATACTGAAATAACATATTACTCCCTTTACAAAATTTACTAAGAAAGAGGCCTCTTGATAATATTACAAAAGATCAGAACACCTGTGGAGAAGTATGAGCAGTGTTGTAATGCTGTAAAGGGTAGTTGACATCAGCAGAGGGAGGAGAAGACTGTACCAAGAAAGCAATAAACACATAAAGGCAGCAAACACATACACAAAGGTAAAGAACCTTTCAAAATAGAAAAACATTTTTTTCAAATATCCTTTTTATAAAAAAAAAAATTTCATGATGCCGAACAAACTAGTTTGTATGTTCTTTTTAGTGAATGGTTATTATTCATTGGGTTGATGAATCTGACATGTTTTCAAGCACCATG